TCACACATAAACTCCATTACAGTAACACAGATCTCTCCTCTTCACTGCCACTCTTCTTCTCCGAATTGCTTCAGATTTCCTCTGGATTTTGCAGGATTCGACATGGGTTTTGTTCAAAATTAAGTTTTTTTCAAAGGAAGATGGAAATTCGCACAAATAAGAATTCTCACGACCGTCAAACGGCGGAGGCAGGTCTACAGCTTAATTCTCCGTCGCCGGGATCGGTTCCTTTCGTCGGAGGATCTATCTCCGGTCAACACACTTCGGCTTCGAGCTCTTCCGCAAGCACGAGCTCAGGAACTGCTTTGGCCGTAGTTAAATCCGCCGTGAAAAAACCATCTAAAGATCGGCACACGAAAGTCGATGGCCGTGGACGGCGAATCCGTATGCCGGCGATGTGTGCAGCTAGAGTTTTCCAGTTGACTAGAGAGTTAGGTCATAAATCCGACGGTGAAACAATCGAGTGGCTTCTCCAACAAGCTGAGCCTGCAATCATCGCATCAACCGGGACCGGAACGATTCCGGCGAATTTCTCAACACTAAATGCTTCTTTACGCGGCGGTGGCTCAACAATCTTCTCTCAGCCGTCTAAATCTTCGTTTCACACCACCGGAATGCCACTCTACGACGATAACAACAACGGAACTAACGGATCATCGTCTTCCTCCGCCGCTGTAGATCCTTCTAGGACGGCTGTTTTCGGGTTTCACCATCAGATGTATCCGCCGATAATGTCGACGGAGAGAAATCCGACTAACTTGGTAAAGCCTCCTTATAGAGAAGATTACTTCAAGGAGACTGAACCTAGTGGGAGTTCTCAGAAACCGGGTCAGTTTCAGGATCAAGAGTTGGGTTCGAGTTCGGGTTTGGGCCGTGGGGGGAGTGTGGTGCCTCAACCAATGTGGGCGGTGGCTCCTGGGAGTACGAATGGAGGAAGTGCGTTCTGGATGCTTCCGATGAGTGGTTCGGGTGGGCGGGAGCAAATGCAGCAGCAGCCGGCTCATCAAATGTGGGCATTCAATCCCGGGAATTATCCGGTTGGGACAGGCCGGGTTGTGACTGCACCTATGGGGTCTATGATGTTGGGAGGACAGCAGCTAGGATTAGGAGTGGCGGAGAGTAACATGGCGGCTGCAATGCGTGGGACTAGAGACGACGGTTTGGGTATGACGCTAGAC